TTGGCCTGCTGTGTTCATCCAACTCTGCACCTTGTTGTCTCGGATTCTCCAGCATCTGCAGTTCCCACTATCTCTGTCTAATTGTAATGTTAGGTTGTAAGGCTCATTTCACTAGAAAAGCAACTTTATAACAAGTTATTAATGAGGTTGTTTCAATCTCATTCCATGGTCAGTATTATCCTTTTTACACAACTAACATAGTAGTAAGATTCTGGTAACGTGCACTCATGGATGAGATAACTCAAGTCTCTATCTGCAACAAACAATGCTTTAAAGAACTAAATTCGGGTGACACAAATCAGATCAATTCTGTAGTAATATCATGCATTCACAAAAGATAATACCAATTTAAATAGTATTTGACTGTCTAAAAAATTCAAATAATATGCAGCCCAGCTATAACATGGATTCATTTCTTGGACCCCAACATCTACATTATTTTTGGTCTTCGAATGTATAAATATTAAGATGCTAATTTTACATCCTGAAGACTTCACGGGTTGCCAACAAATTCAATCCATTCTGGCAGAGTTCTACCACATCAGAAAAATAAATTGCATAACATCAAGTTGCACAAGCATTTTCTCCTGAGCAAGGCCAACCTTAGTTAGCTTAACGTTAAAGAAAAACGAACCCATATGCAATTCAAATTTTGAACAGGTGGAATGCACAACTTGATGAAACATTAATTAGCTATCAACCTAGCATTCATTCCACACCAAGCAAAGGTAGCCTTAACGCAGACATAAACCTTCACTAAAGCAATACAAAATCGAACGCCAGAAACCCTTAGATCTTCCAACTTACTTGTTTGAGCATATGAAGGTAGTCATAGCAGAAACCGATTATATTAGAAGAAATATCATCATCTTCATGCACAAGCAGCTTAAGCAGAAGAGGCACTTTTGCCTCCACAGCCTGAAGAGTCACTTGGCTGTTCTTCACATCCCCTGCTTTTACAAGCTTACTCCAACTTGTTATCAAAGCCTGGCCCATCCCATTAACCAGCTTGGAAAACCTTGCCAGGAAGTCAACATCATCTTCCTAGATAAAGAAACAAGGTAATTATTCTGATGCAGTGCAAAAGGATGTTACCTCATTGCAGTCATTTTATTTCCTTGGTATGTGAGCATCACTTGCAAGGCCAGTTTTTATTTCCCACTCCCAATCATTTTTAAAACTCTTTATTAAGGTATGGGCAATTAGGAATGTCCATTCCTAATTGGCCTCGGTGATGGGCTGCCTCCTTGGACTGCTACAATCTATGTGTTGTAAGTGCACCCAGATATGTTGCTGGAAAGGGAGTTGCAGTATTTTGGCCCAGAGACAGTAAAGGTGTTTGCTACAGTAAGTAGAAAACAATGATTTTAAATGTTCCTTGAACCATACCTAAACAATCCTAACGTTGCACTTGAGGCAAGAATTGAATTCCCTCAATACGATTTATGCTGCGTTTACAGCAACTCAATCATTTCGGAGCCAAAACATTATGTAACAGCCTTTGGCCAAGGTGTTGGCTCTACACCACTCAACAGCAACAATTTCAAAAATTGCAACTGAAAACCAGCACAATTCCACAAGAGGGAGCAAATTTAATTTTCACTGATATCTATGCAGGCTGAGTGATCAAATAACCACATTCATTCATTTGTATGCTGTGTCTGAAGGCAGGCTGCTATTCATTATCTGCTGCTGCTTTGTCAGGAGTCATTCACTAGACAGTCTTTAAATCACCACATTACACACTTAAAGACAGAGAGAAGGCACAAGGCAAGTCCACATCAAATGGAATGAGAATCAAACCTGCAGTGTTGGCATTGTTCTGAAACACACACAATAGCCATCTTACCAACTCATCCAACAGGCGTGAATAAATGCGCCACTAAACGGGCAAACAAGAATGTTAAAATTGTTTACCGAAAATAATATGAACTACTCCACAAAACTAGCTTGCTGTAAGCAATTTACTTTACCTTCTATAGTGATTTTGGACAGTTAATACTTTTACCACAATGCTAATATGCTGGAGACTGGGGGCCTTTTAAAACTAAACTTTTCTATTATTTCAAATGACCTGATGTAATGGCTTCTACCATAGTAACGAGCCTTCTGCAAACATGAACAACATTCTAGTACGTTAGACAAAGGGCGGGTACAAGAAAGGTCACAAGTGTCACCAGGATCACAGAAGGCATAATATCCATCGAAGTGGTGTCAATGACTTATCTGGCACTACATGCACCCTATTATCAATGCAGTTTTGGGAAAATACATTTTGTATTTAGAAAAAAAAACAACTTATAACTAACCCTCAGGTGAAGGTGGATAAGTGGGGAAGACATGCATACTTGTTCCACATCCATTAGCTAGAAGGATTCAAGTGGGTGACTGACACAGCATAAACTACCAGCAGCTAGAAATAGGATATACCAACAACTGCTCAGGTTAGAGGACTGTCCTTATCAGGCCATAAGAAATAGGAACAGAAGTCGGCCATTTGGGCCCTCAACCAGGGTCTTGGTTGATTGACATTCTTCATGTTCACTTTCCTGCCCTATCCCCATAACCCTAGAGACCCCTACTGATTAATTCCTTGTCAGGTCCTGTCTTCTTCGGATGGACGATCCAGGGAAGAGCTCCAAACACTTCCAGTGCAGAACAGAAAGCAACCTTCACAGCTTTAGTAAGATCTACGCATTCTGTGCCACCAGCCTATTTACCCTCTAGTGTCAGTGAACCTTCCTCAGTTGTCACAGGTTGCACACACTAAGTAATGAATCATTTTTAAAACTGCAACTTCAACTATGTGAAAGTTGGTTGTCAAAAGGCCAACTGGCCTCTTGTGATAGCAGTCACAACTTCTGCCTCTTCAGAGCTTCTGTATCTGCCACACTCACCTCAATTAAGGGGAGAGGCCTGTTTCACATACTAACTTCTTACTGATTTACACAAGATACCAAAATCAATGGCCAATTCCAAAAGTAGATTTTCCCTTATTGTTAGACCTAATTGTAGATTTTCCGTTGTTACACACCACTGTGTAGGACAGCAGTGCTTTCCTGCCAGCAATAAGATTTCCTTTGCAGCTAACTTACCAATTCCCATAGCTCTTTACTTTCCTTATCCAGCTGTAAACCACAACTATTTGACACTGTAGGCTAAACTTATTCCTAACTCAATTGTTCCTTTCAGAACCTCTTTAGAGAGCCTACCAAGTACAAACTCATTCACCACCACACTTCTATAATTTCCTGTCCAGCTTCCATTACAGATGCTTCCATCCTGTTATCCTATCAGTCACTTCAAATATTCCAATGCTTTTGACTTGCTACTTCATTTAAGAACTATGCCATACATGCTTAACGACAATAAGGGACTGCTGTTTCTTAGCTTCTCAAATTTAAATCCATTTATACCTTGAATCCAGAGGATCCCATTCTTGACAGAATTTAGATTTGAGAGGTTCAAGACCACAGTCATCTAAAATACAAGTAACCAACTACTTGATAAACTATCTGAAAATTGCTTACAAGTTTAAGCAGCAGCAGCGTAGATGTAAAACATTCATTACACAAATGGTCAGCGTACAATCCGTGACAATTGAGGATGGTTTACTGATTCCAGGGGGTCAGTATCACAGTATGGACTTTGTCTGTCTTCATTTTGAACGCAGCATCGTGCTCTCTGGCTGAAGTGTTTGGAAACTCTTCAGAATCTTCCTTCAATCTCTTCTGGCCCATCATGAATTTGTAGAAGGCAGATCACTCATGAAGACTGCCACCTACAAGGACCACCCAATGAGGAGTGCTCTCTGTCCCTGAGCACTTGTCAATACAGTCCATTTCTAGGGGCTGGTAGTTTATTCTATATCAATCACCCATTGAAACCTTCTAACCAATGGACGTGGAACAAGTATGCATGATGTCTCGATAACTGTTCCTCCTCTTGGCCACCTTCACCTGAAGGTTAGCTATCACATTTTTCTAAGTACAATACTTATATTCCCCAAATACTGCATTGACAATGGGGTACATTTGGTGTCAGATAAACGATTGACATCACTTCAATAGATCATTGTAATCTTGTGACTGTTATTTGTTCTTCTGTCTTTATTTACAAGAAATTTGCTTGTTTGGTGAATGCTAGTTACTGCAGGAGCAGTCATTCTATCAGGTCTTTTGTTACACAAGAAAAACCTGCAAAATTCAGTTTTAAATGGATTCTAGTTTCCAACAATGGCAACAACCAATCATATCTGTTTGTCACAAGTAATATGTGAATCTATCTTATCACAACTTTCAAACTTTAACACAACTTTAGCACAACAAAATACAAAGAAAAGGAATACTTGCTGTGATTGCTCTGTAGCACAGACCTGCTCAGTGTTGAAGAAGCCAGAAGCCAGGAGCACCTGACAAAGCGATTCTACAAGTTTAGTCTTATCAATAGGATCCATGCCTTTATTTACTATTTCAAACAGACAGTCACAGGCTTCCTCACGGAGGACTTCCACTGACATGTGACTGAGCAACAAATTCACAAACCTAGAAAAAGAAGAAAAAAATTAAAAAACTGCTGTCCATACTGCCTACTATCTGAAATTCCTAAATGCAAAGAGAAAATGCTGGAGAAACTCAGCATGCCTGGCAGCATGTGTGGAGAGAAAGAGTTAACATTTCGCGTCTGAAATAACTCTTCAGAATGTTTTCACTCCTGACGGGTCTACGCCTGCAAATCGCAAAATCTGAAATCAACTGGGACAAATACCTTCACACTTGCTCTCCTAGGCCAGATCTTTAGTCTGTGTTTAATTGATCATGTGGGGAATGAGAGTTCCATATCCACTGTTTCAATGGAAGCTCTCCACAACTGCCAGGCAAGGGAAATTAGTTCAACGTACCAGATGTTTTAGTTTACCCAGGCTGTCTGATCTTAATAATATTTTCCTTACTCGAGGCTGGTGGGGGAGGAGGGGGGTCAACAAGCAGTTGTTCAATGCGTGCCTTTATTTTTAAGTAGAAATGCGTTGCAATAAATGATTATTCTATTACACGGGCTAAAAGCACATAAGGAGGTACATATCATCCAGATACCAGACAAGTGCACAAACATTAAAAGGGAATATTATTCTACTCTGCAAATGTTTAAGCAAAATAGTGAAAATATTAGGCAATGCAGCTTAACCATGGCTGGTCTTCATCCAAAAAAAAACTTGGGGGGAGGGCTTTGAGAGTCGAGAAACATTAGAGTTTGGAAAGGCTCTGGATACTAATAGCCAAGCAGCTTTACTCCCAGATTCTACTTAATAAAATAGAGGTACTAATCTTCCCTCACAGTCTCCTCACGTGTTTTGACTACTGGGATAATGAGTGTAATGTAATGTAAATGTGCAACATATGACGTAAAAATTAATCTTAAGTGCATATTACTTTAGTTTTTCAAATTTCATCGGATCATCTTCAGTGTGTAGAGAGGACTAAGGAATGCTGAGAGTAGGACAAGCAATTATAGAAATTATTACAAGCAATTGTAGAAACACTATTGTCATACACCAGTGATATTATGGACCTTTTCTTTCTATTTCCTGTTATAACTTTAAATCAAGTGTAGAAGTGTAAACCATTAGTCATAGATTAAACCTCTGCACCTCTGTCACTGCTAGTCATGTGGTTTTGGGACAATTCATGAGTTAACAGCAATATGGCCATCTTGCCCTGCAGGCAACTATCTCCCACTCCTCGGCACTATAAATTAAAAGTCAAATTTAACTTCAAAATAAAACAGAATGTAAGCTTGACTCAATTTGTATCTTCAGATTTTTAGATAATGCTGCTACAAGACACGTGCATTGTTTGTGAGGTCATCATTTATTACAGATCCCAAAATGCCCTTGAGAAGGTGGTGGTGAATTCCCTTCTTGAAGTACTGCAGTTCTTTGAAATACACAGGGGCACCCACAGTGCTGTTCAGAAGGGAGTTCCACAAGTTTGACCCAGTGACAGTGAAGGAATGGTGACACAAGATGATATGTAACTTGGAAGAGAACTTGCGGGTGGTAGTGTTCCCAAGTATCTGTTGCCCTTGTCCAAAAAAAGGTGCTGTCCAATGTGCCTGGGTGAGTTGCTGCAGTGCATTTTGTAAATTGTACATACTGCCACCACGGTGTATTGGTGGTGAAGGGAGAACATGCTCAACATGATTAATCAAGCAAGCCGTTTGTGTCCTGGACGGTGTTTCCCAGTTGTTTTGGAGCTGCACCCAGATCTGGCAAATGGAGAGCATTCAAATACACACTCCTGACTTGTGCCTTGATAGGCCTTGTGGGGAATGGAGGTGAATTACTGATGCAGATAAGTATTACAGGCAATGAGCAAAATGAGGAGCTAAACTAAATCATGGCTATCACATCTTGTTTCCGTTCACGTCCTACTCTCAGCATTCCTTAATCCTCTTTACACACTGAAGATGATCCGATGAAATTTGAAAAACTAAAGTAATATGCACTTAAGATTAATTTTTACGTCATATGTTGCACATTTACATTACATTACACTCATTATCCCAGTAGTCAAAACACGTGAGGAGACTGTGAGGGAAGATTAGTACTTCTATTTTATTAAGTAGAATCTGGGAGTAAAGCTGCTTGGCTATTAGTATCCAGAGCCTTTCCAAACTCTAATGTTTCTCGACTCTCAAAGCCCTCCCCCCAAGGTTTTTTTGGATGAAGACCAGCCATGGCTAAGCTACATTGCCTGAGATTGCCCAAAGAAGTGAAAAAAGTTTGCATTTATACGGTGCATTTCATGACCTCAGCACCAGCCCCAAAAGACTTCACACTGAAGTTAAGCCACTGATGTAATGTAAGAGATGCAGCAGCTAATTTGTGCATAGCAAGCTCCCATGAGTTAACTGGACTACCTCTGATCACTGCACCATTTTACTAAAGGAAACAATGCAGACCAATGATGGGTATTACATAAAAGAATTCTGATGGGTCCTATCACAAACAGAAAGAAGTTTTTCTTGCATAATGACGGATAAACAATTTTGCCCAAAAACAAAAATGTTAAGAAAATACACGTACCTGTCATTTGCTATCAGATTCAAGTCAATCCAGGATACAAAAGCTCCAACAACCTCAAGGCACTGGCATGTTAGTTCAGAGTTGGTTTCCTGATAGGTGTGCAGGATCTGGTACCAGGATTCCACAAGATTTGGTATACATTGTTCCCTCATTGCATCCTTTATTAAAGTATTTCGTCTACACTCCTGTAGTGACAGAATAATACTTTAATTCACCAAACCATTCTTTTAATGGAGCAACATTTCCCCTCGAAAAACAGGATTTCCTTATTTTTACTGAAATAAATGTAGGATTCAAACTCAATTACAGACTAGATCAAGCATCCATTCTCAGAATAAAAATTCCAAAATTTGACTCAGTGATAGTTCTAACATAGTCACAGAGTCAGAGACTTTACAGCACCAAAAGACAGCCTTCAACTCATCAGCTCCGTGCTGGTCATCAAGTATCAGTCTATTCTAATCCCATTTCCAGCACTTGGCTGGTAACCTTGAATACTATTGCATTTCAAGTGCTCACCTAGATAGTTCTTAAAATGTAAAGAATTCTCATTTCTACCACTCTTTTAGGCAGAGAGTTCCAGACGTCCACCACCCTTTGGGTGAAAAAAAAATGTCAAATCCCTTCTAAACGTCCTCCTCCTTAGCTTAAAACTGTTCCCCTTGGTTATGGGGTCCTCTATGTGGAAAAGTCCCCATCTAAGCCCCTCAATTTTGTATATGTCATACTGGTTCCTCCTCAGCCTGCTCTGCTCTAAGGAAACCACACCAGCCTATCCAGTCTCTCTTCGTAGCTGAGGCAACATCCTGATCGATCTCCTCTGCATCCTCTCTAGTGCAATTGCATCTTTCCTACAGTGTGGTGACCAGAATAACGCACAGTACCCCAGCTGTGACCTAACATTGTATACAGCTCTATCATAGCCTCCTTGCTCTGTATTCAATGTCTTGACTAATAAAGGCAGGTATCTAATAAAGCTTTTTTTAAAACCACCTTATCCACCTGTTCTGTTGCCTTCAAGAATCCAAGGCTATGCACATCAAGGTCCCTCCCTACTTCCTAGGGTTAACATTCAACGTGTACACCCTTGCCGGGTTACTCCTTCTGGGATGCATCTCCACTCATTTTTCAGGATTAAATTCCATTTGCCATTGACAATGCCCATCTGACAGCTTGACCATACTGACTATCCTTGATTAATCCATGCCTCTCCAAGTGGAGGTTAATTCCGTCCCTCAAAATGTTTTCCAACAACTGTACTGCTTTGGTTTAACCCATTAGCAAGATCTCCAGTCCTCTGGCACCACTCCTGTAGCCAGAGAAGATTTGAAAATTAATATCAAAGCCACTGCAATCTCTTCCCTTACCTCCCACAGCAGCCTCTTACATATATTTTAAAAAACAGGTATTAGTTTTAATAACCTTATCTTAATCTTCGGAGCCTTAGTCATCCCTTCACTAATTAAAAAATTTTGAGGTAAGTGTTGTAGATAAGGGAAGCTCAGCCAGTCAGGTATGAGAAAAAATATTATGTTCTATTGAGTCGACAGCTACAGCAAGGTCAGTAAACCTTTAAGGCCACCCTAAATAAGACATGCTTAAATTGAGGACTGCAGAAGTTATACCAAAACTCTATTCACATAAAGCTGGAAACAGGAGTAATAAACACAGACAGGTATTTCAGATTCAGGAGATTTGACTTGCATGGCTCTCTTGTGGTACAGAGATAGCGCCCCTTCCTCAGGACCGGGAGGCCTGGGTTCAAGTCTCACCTGCTCCGGGGGGGGAAAACAAAAGGGACTTGGACTGCAACTAAATTTGTTTGAACCCAATATGTTTTACTGTCAAAGCTGTTATATTTGCTCGCGGATAAAGTAAATGTAACAGGCTTTTTGACTTGCACTCATCAGTACTGACACAAGTGTCAAATTTCAGACAGAGCAATAATTTGCACTGCACGAGAAAATGATGATAGTCAAATGATTGACTATGATGGCAAGTGAACTCTGATTGGTCAATATGCTGTCATCAAGAATGCACCAGGCAGCTACAGGTTTTCAATTTCAATAAAGATGCAATGCCTGGACATCATTTTACCTCAAAGCAGAGGATTGGTCCCTGCCTGTGAATATCTGCAATTTCTAATGAGCTACATTGCAAGCCCAATTGATAAGCATAACACTAATGATTAGTTTCAAATTATCACACTCAGGACCTGTTCAGCAAATACTGCCTAATCATGAAATCACATTTAACATTAGAGATTAGGTTTTGAGTTTTGCAAGTATGGGGTAGTTTAGTAGGGTCAGTGCGGGGACAGAGAATGGGGACCAGGGAATAGAACAGAATAGAATAGAAATTTATGGTGACATGTACTTTTATCACGGCACCTATATTAAAGGACAGAAGTCACACATAATAATTTTAAGAAGTAAAATTAAGACGAAGTTCACCGCAGTTCAGTTATTACAAAAAGCAAAAGAAATTGTTTGATATGACCTGCTAGTTGAGATTTGTCAGCTAGGTGTCAGGCACCATCATTATTCATGTGATAGGCAGAATGTCCTTTGGGGTGGCAGCAGCACCCTGTTGATAGGGTATACCACTAAAATCACTACTTCATACCAGTGGAATAAAACAACCGGTGTTCAAATTTGACATTTCAATGGTTGGCAAAAATCTCTCCCCAGCCTTTAAATTCTCAGTAAGATTTTTCATGTTCATACTGGAAATACCATAATACAGATTGGATGCGTGGCCTCTCTCATCTCATCTCTAAGCATTCAAAATGTTTCTTCTCATCAATTCTTCTACAACCCTTTTCACATGGTCTGTGCTGAGGTAGGGTTGTGTTAGTGTCTGTGTCCCGTCGGTAATTTGCAATTAAGATTCATGGTATTTTATCATTACTTGCAAACTGGAGTTCTAAAGGGGTCAGAATTGTAGAACAAATCAAACATAAAGCTATACATAATGTGTACATTCAGGGGAGACATTGTTTTAGCTTCACTTTTGACTTCCGAACGTGGTATTAGGTTACCTGGAAATGTGTTTATGTGCATTTAAATGAGACTTTTGAAAACCTTTGGAGGGGAATATTTCAGTGTCTTAGAGAAAAAAGGCAGAAGGAAGAAAAAACTGAGCTGTTGCCTAGAAACAAAGTGTCCTATAGCATAGGGTGACAGACAGAAAAACATTCTTTTAGAAAGATCCATCCAGAAGCTCTGTGAAGGTACAGAATTCTTTCAGAGAGAGGAGCAGGCAATTCAGAGACAGAAGACCCATAATAGTGGCAGTGCAGTTTAGCAGTCTCTGAAACAGGTGGGAAGAGATGCTGAAAATCACAGTAAAGTTCCAGAAGTTCCCTTTCCACATCCTGATGCTTAAAGGAAAGCTTCTATGTTAAGAAATAAGTGAGCTGCACTAGCAATTTAAGAATTTCAGGAGAAGACACTAAGATGTAGAATTGAGTGAATGCAAAAATTTGCTGAAAAGAAACCAATTTATAGCCATACCACTGAACAAGGAACTTTCAAGCTGGAAATAGGGTGCTCCTTAAATTAGGTGATCTGTAATGTTACTGTTAAGGATAAAAAGATCGAATATTTGTTTCTGATATTTGTGATGAGACCAGTTCAAATAATTATGTAGTATAATACTTTATATTCTTGTTAAAAATACACAGACAGCGTCTGGTGAATATGTTCAGTGTCCAACTATTATGGCAGACAAACTACAAAAAAGTTAAACTTACGGTCTGTTCAGATGTATTCAGTTTTACCATCAACTGGAATTATAATGTCAATTATCTGCCTTAGATCAATCCTGCAATTGTTTTATATTAAATAATGGTGTTGCCGATTCAAATTAGTAAAAATTTTGTTGAAAACCTAAAGGATATTTCAAAACTATTATAATTGATGCTTGATATTCTTTCTATTTCTCAAATTCTCAATTCTGAATTCTAGAAATAGAACGTGATTTTTTTTCAAAAAAATGAACGGAAATTCTAATTGGCCAAAAGACCAAGAAAACCTGCAAATTGTGTAACCAGAATTGGCAATTCTTCAGCAACATTTATTTCAAGTGCACAAGTAGAAGCTATTTTACATCGAGGTAAACAACTGTTTAAATCTTACTAGCTTCCGGAAACTGCTATACAATCTGGTGTGGTTGCACTTAATCAGTCCTTCGACAGCATGTTCCAAACACACGAGCTCCACTACCTGACGAGGGCAGCAGATACATGGGAACACCTGCAAATTCCCCTCCAAGCTGCACACCATCCTGACCACAGCGGGGTTCTTTTACTGTTGCTTGGTCAAAATCCAGGAAGTCCCTGACTATCAACACTGCTGGTGTACCCACACCAGAAGGCAGGCAGAACAAAGACAGCTCACCACCACCTTCAAGGGCAAATAGAAGTGGAAAATAAATGCCGGTCGGGCCAATGATGCCCACATCCCATGAGCAAACAAAAATAAATCCATTGGCTATTGCAAAGCAAACAAATTTTACACAAAATCAACTGTCTAAGTCAATCACATGCTGGAGCAGAATTTAAGCTACAACAGATCATACCAGCAAGAGATCAAATTTGTGCTCACCGTTCTTACCTCTGCTGTGTGAGCAATGTCCCGATCTACTACTTCTGCATCAATAGCCATAAGGATTCGCAAATAGAGATCAACTCCTCGTGGATTAAGGCCAACAACTGAGAGAATGTCAAAGAAGAACTTGGGCCACTCGGTAAGATACTCCGCTAGAAAAAGCATAGCAAAGACCTGAGCCGCTTTGTTGCGGATAAAAGTCTTCTCTGGGTGTGGACTCACTGTCTGTGGAGGATAAAAGATAAATGTGGAAGGATTCAGTGTTTAAAAGTTGGTGTTTAAAACAGATTTTAAAAGGGCAACAGGCCAAGGGTCTCTTTTCCATGTTGTATAATGCTCTGACTATATGACTTCCCTCCTTCACAATCTGGAGCACGTGGCAGGATTTGAAATAAAAAAAATCAATTTACTTGAAGTCTATTCTAGGAGATCCTAATTTTGCAAAGTGGTAACAGAAACAACAGTACAATCAGAATCAGTCAGCATACCAAGACTTTTTTCCTTTTGAACAATAAGAAGGCCATTCAGCCCATCACTCTGGTGCCTGCTCTTAGAAAGCATTTCAATTAGCCCCAACACCCACTTTTCTCCATATAATAAACTTAACTGCTTGCCAGAACCAGAATCAATTTTGAAAATTCATGCATTCCTTGCCACACGCAAAGTTGAGGATTTTGTTTAGTGTAATAGTGACAGACAAGGCAGTAGCACAACTCACTTGAGCCTGAAGCCAAGTCATCATGGTCTGTCTAATAAGTTGATGTTGTGCCCCAGTCAGAGTAGCATACCTGCAAAGTTAAAAACAAATCATATTTTGTACATGACACTTAGTAGGAGTAAAACATTTAAGTAGCTTGCAACAGGAGACTATATTGAAGCACCACAAAATGCACCACATTTTGAAAACATCAGACATTACACATCAATCAACATTTTACATGGGGATTTTGTTATTAAAGGTAAAAGACTTGCATCTATAAACTCACCCATTACACATGATCCATGTACTTATTGGTTGACCCAGACCCAATCTCCTGTCACTGTCTCTCCACAACCAACTGGTCCCAATAGATCAAATGGCCCTTTGCAGTAAATGGGGATTTCTATTACAATGCTATCCGCATTTCGGTAATATCTGCAGGAGCTCTGTGCCTCTACACCCCTGCAGATAATAAAGATTTAACGTAACCCTGACCATTTCTCAACAGGCACCTCAAAGCAGTTTATAAGTGATAAAACACTTTTGAAGCACCATCATTACTCTAATACAGAAAATGCAGCAGTGACCTTGTTCACAAGGTCCCACAAACAGTAATGTGATAATGCCCATACAATCAGCTTTAGTTACATTATGGGCAAAATATTAGTTGGGTCACCAGCAACAATTCCCCTACTCTTTCAAATAATCCAAGGGATCCGTTACTTACTGAGCTACAGTTCAGTACCTCACCCGAAAGATGGCATCTTAGATACATAGATCTCTTCCAAAGACAGAGTACATTTATTTTTAAATCATGATTTTTAAAAAAAATTATTTCACTATGTGTGTAATAGGCAACAGCCCTCAAGCAGGCACTTGAGATTTCTGCTCCCACTTTTGTACCCTCAGAATAAAGTGAGTCAATCCAAAGGTATTGTCACACATTCCCTATAAATCAACAAAAAAAAAGTGTACTAAATATTTATAAAGGCAAAATAAACAGAAAAATATAGAAAACATAAGTGTCATCACATCTGTTTAGTTGGTAATCCTTTTGTTGCTATTAGAATATTTATACCTTCAATGTAAAGGACCATGACTCTTAACTAAAACAAGCTGTGGATTTAGAAGATCATAATTGCACTCAAAATTCAACATAATCAGAAACAGTAAACAGAAGATAGTCATTCAACACATGGTGACTCGGTCAACTCTCTGAAACAGCCATCACTTCGCCTCAATTGTCCTGTCCCTCCATCACAGCTCCAATTATATTTTACTTGTGAGGCATTTATTCAATATCCTTTTGAAAGTTACTGCTCCCAGCACGCTTTCAGGCAGCACATTCAAGATCAAAATTTGCAGAGTTAAATAAAAAATTCCCATCCTGTTCTCTTGGTCCAGGCACTTTTTGAGAATTATTTTAAATGTGTCCTCTGCTTACTAACACTGCTGTCAGTGGAAAATTCTTTTAATTTAATTTGTTAAAAAGAGTCTTAGGAACACAAATAGGAACAGTAGACCATTTAGCCCCTCAAACCTGCTCTGTCATTTAGGTTATCTGCAATATCAAGAAATCTATTGATCTGTCTTGAATATACTTGAAGTTGGAGCTTCCACAGAAACATTTTCCAAACTTTTAAAGAGACAGTAACACAATGCTAGTGATGGCACTGCAATTTCTCAATAGTGGGAGTTAGTAATTAGAGATGAAAGGTTCCATTATTAATTCTTAAATCCATAGTTAGAATGTATTTAAAAAAAAAACACAATATATGCAGAGTTATGTAGAATAAAAGCCCACAGTTTTTGTGTACGTGGGGAATGGGGGAGGGGGATGGTGGAGTACATTCCTAGAGAACTGGTGAACGTGGCAGATTGCACATCTGCAGTGCACACTTACTTCAGGAAGCAGCATTTTCCCCCCTTTATCTTGAAAGCCGCAGATAAGAGATTAAATTTATAATTGGTGAAAAGATATACAGCAAATATTGAATGGAAAGCAAATTCTCAAGTGACGTGTCTTTACTATAGGTTCACAAGTTTAAAAAAAGAGGAGAGAGTTGCGATTTTATTTTAAAATTGACACAGCCATTGCTAAAAAAAAATGCTACAAAAAGTAATGTTGATGGATGTTCCTCAGTTTCTGTATTACTTCTACGCTAATCACATTCCTTCTTCTTTAGTGATATCAAGGCTGATCACGCAATTTCAGCATTACTCGCAGTGCTATGTACCACTGTGAAAAGCACTTGTGGTCTATTCATGTAATAATTCATAACTGGGGACTATTTCTATAAAAATGTTTCCCAATAAATTCCAAAGTAAGATCAATTTACACAGAAACAAATGTTAATTTGTAGTAATCGAACATTTCTATAGAGGCAGATGTTGGCAAAGCTTTCTATCTTGCGCTCAAGAGGGCAAATACAAGGAAGCCAAATTTCAATTACAACAATTTACAGGAGAAAAAAAAAGGTGTTACCCTGTTTGCCAGTCAGCTCACACAGGTTGAGGTAACGGAAAGGAGAACACAATAGTGAACTTTAGCTCTCTACGTTCCTGGCAAATTCAATAAGGTGCAATGCTTGAATATATTCCTTTTGTTTGAGCAGGTCCCTATACAGGAATGTATCTCACTTCTTGCATGTATAAACAAGCCACCTTACAAGTTTGACGGATTTATCTTCAACTGGTTGTTAGTATAGCTATTGGCGCACTCAAGATTATTCAGTCAATGCTGCCCAATCACAAAATTATAATAGTAGACATTTTGTTTAGAATAGTTACTTGTGGTGGTGGACATGAACTGGCATTGAACTTTTTCTCCACAGAAGCCATACTGGTGGAATATGTATGTTTATAATTAAAGTCACTGCAAGTAACTGTTTATAAGGTTGTGAAGATCGGGCTCCAGTTCAATATTTCACACCTTGGTGTTCTGAAACAGAACACAGGTTGACATGATATAGCACATAATCACTCTTACCTGAATTTAATTTGATGTTCCAATACTTGAATACAAAAAAACTTTACATGGTCATCACTGTGGACAAGAAAAACAATTGCAATTAGTTTAAAAAACCCAAAAAAAGATGCTGGCAATCCGAAACAAAAACAAATTGCTGGAAAAATCTCAGAGAGAATTCAGAGTTAATGTTTCAGAACTGTTCTGAAGGGTCAATGGACCTGAAACACTAACGCTGATTTCTCTTCACACATGCTGCATGACCTGATGAGATTTTTCAGCAATTTCTGTAACTGCAGTTAGTGGTTTTCTTGTTGAGATACAACACTAATTGTTCATAAACTTCACCCACCCCAAACTCAAAGTATGCATACTCCGTACTTTCCCACCCATTCGTCTACCATGCCATTTAAGCCTCATAATCAGAAAGGAAAACTTCCTTCCACTACAATGGTGAGTAAAAATGCCTGTAAATTCCTACCTGTATACCCCCCGTGCTAAAGCTTCAGCACACACTTGCCATCCATTCTGAGAGACCTTCAGCTGTTCAAAATATGCCAATGCCTGGAGGATGGATTGAGAGAAAAATACAGTTTTAATAATTTCATCCTGTATTAAACAGAGAGATGCATCTTTGACCTTTCCTTTCCCTTCCCCTGGTTTGCTTCACTGCTCGAGATGCAGAACTTCTGTTGGTTACAGATAAAGGCTCACTCCTGAGTGAACAATCATCATCTGTGCAGCCAGACAGTAACTGTCAGCCAGCTATTTAACTGTGGAAGACATCACATCTGAGCTTTGAAATGCAGCTGGAAGCACAGTGTACTGGGGCCAAATACAGAAGGGCAACAGTGTCCTGTCCAGTACATATGATTTAAAACATCAGATGGTGCTTTTATCCATCAGATCACTGAGAAGCTCATGTGCTAATTTCTGATGGTGAGCAAAGCTATTTTCCTATAGGCTGTGCTTCAGCCCTTCCACTTCCCTGTGAACACAAAAGAAATAACAGAATGAGAGAGTCAGCCATCATGTAGTTACCTTCCAGGGAATGTCATAAAACAAAGTATGTGGGATACCAAGCTTTATAAATAGAGCATACAAAAACAAGGAAGTTACATTAAACATTGATAAAACACTACTTCAACACCAGCTAGAGTACTGGGTCCTATTTGGAACTTAGCACTTTAGGATTTGGGGCAGCACGGTGGCACTGTGGTCAGCACTGCTGCCTCAGCGCCAGGGACCTGGGTTTGATTCCAGCCTCGGGCGACTGTCTGTGTGGAGTTTACACATTCTCCTCGTGTCTGCATGGGTTTCCTCCGGGTGCTCCGGTTTCCTCCCACAGTCCAAAGATGTGCAGGTCAAGGGGATTGGCCATGCTAAAATTGCCGTAGTGTTCAGGGAGGTGTAGATTAGGTGGGTTATAGGGGGATGGGTCTGGGTGGGATGCTCCGAGGTTCAGTGTGGACTTGTTGGGCCGAAGGGCCTGTTTCCACACTGTAGGGATTCTGTGATTCTATGATATCAAGAATGTGAATACAGAAAAGAGTGGGGCAAGACAGCGGATGGTGTGAAGAGGAGCATTTAGTAATTGGAAGCAGCAATGTTGTGTTTCTTTCTGTTTTTGTTTGGTCTTCACCATCTTTGATACAACAGCTCCCTAGCACTTTTGATGTCACAAGCACTGTAACTGCACGAGTAGGGAGTGTGCTCTCTTTGGAGATGTCATTGCCATTGCATTTATGGTACACTTTACCATATCATTTGGGATACACCAAAGCACTGCACAATGAACTCTTTTCAAGTGCAGTCATTGTTGCAATGTAGATAAATAAAATAGACATTTTGTATAACAGACAATAGAGCAAATTTTCACTTGACTGATTCCAGGAACAAGGGGATTGTTTTTGAGGAAAAGTTGGACAGATTGTACCTGCATCCACTGGAGTTCAGAAGAATGTAAGGTCATCCTATTAAAACGTACAAAGTCCTGATGGAATTTGATTGGCGTGGATGTTACAAAGGTATTTTTCCTTGTGGGAGACTGTAGAACTAGGGTCACAGTTTAAAAATAAGGGGTCACCAGTTAAGATTGTGTGATGAGGAGAATTCATGGGCCTGCTCCTTGCAAATAAATATTGTCAAATAACCAGTTCACACATTTGAGGTGATGTGAATCAAGAATACTATCATCTCATACATTTCAAAGATCAAAATAAGAGAAACCAGTCAATCTAACTTACGCAACATGTAGTCAAATAGGAGAGCAGCATCTAAAGTTTTCCTGATATAGTGAAAATATACATACATACATATATAATAGCCACATACATATTCACAGAGTAATTGGGAAAAACTGCTCCCAATGGGGAGAAGGATTGCAATCCATAGAACACTGACTTAAGGTGATTAGCAAAAGGAGCAATGGCAACATGAAGGAACATCCTTTTGTGTTTCAAGCAAAGAGTCATTAGGATCTGAAATGCACAGAGAGAGTACAGTGGAAGCAGATTCAATTATTGTTTTCAAAAGGGAATTGGACAGTTACTTCAAAATAACGTTTGCAAAACTGCAAGGAAAAGGCACAGACGCAGGAGTTGGAAAGGTGCTCTTGCAGGGAGTTGGCACAAACACAATGAACCGAATGGCTTCTTTCTATGCTGAAACCGTTATGTTTTCATCCAATTATACTATCTTAGTAAAGAGTAGGACTGGTCACCTTAAAAAAAAAGGTGTCATAGCGGTATCAAGGAGAATTCCTGATCTTTGAATCCATCAGCCAATTTAGCACCTGGGATTTTCATGGACTGAAGTAGCCCCGGCCCAGTTAGAATGGCTAGCTTTCATGAAATAGACGTGAATTAGATTGAATACAGTCTGAGATGCAACTAACATTCTCCCGAAGACAATGAAAGCAGTCAGTCAGTTAGGACACCATGAGAAACCAGAAATTCCTCATCTGATTTGATTGACACCATTATGAGAATCTTTACAATCATTCATACCTCAGCAGGCATACTAACATGCTACTATTTTAAGGACTCTTGGCAGTCAAGAGATGCAACTACAAATACAGAACTGAACACAGGTCAAAAAGGTTTTCTCTTTCCTTTTCAAGGAGGGAGGTGCACGAACAGGAAAGAAGCAGAGAGTCGAGAACGTGCATGACATCTGCGTTAACAGTCCAAGAAACCAATTAACCAACAGCGGTCTCTGGTTAAATCCTATCATCTCAAAGACACCAAAAGAATTCTAAGCAGTATATTCCTTTATCTTCCTGTGCACAGGACACCAAAGGCCTTTTAACTTTGTGTGCATTGCTGCAAGAGAGGACCCAAGCAATAGCCCATAAGCCAAATGCATCCACAAACAAAACTGTCTCACTCAAGAAAACTTTGTTCCAGTTTACAAACATTCGACTTACAAACAACTTACGAACATGATCACAGACAGGGGTGCAATTTTAAAGACTTGACATACAAAACCTTTCCTGTATTTACAAACAGCAGCTACACATTGTCCTGCATCATGTTCTAACTTGCGTACAAACTGACTTGCGAATAATTCCAGAACAGAACCAGTTTGCAAGCTGGGGAGTGCCTGTATTCATTGCTTACTATTTATTCAGTTTCTTTGTTATGGTTTCATGGAGTACATTCAAATCAGAGATTGACAGATTTCTAGATAGTAAATCTATCAAGTGATATGGGAATGGGGCTGGAAAACAGCATTGAGATGAGCCATGATCATAATGAATGGCACAGCAGGCTCAAGATGCCAAGCTACTGTTCCTTTATTCTGACTGTCCTATGGTCACCTATAGGTTTCATTAACATCCTGCATCTCTTGACAAAATATTAAAGTCCCGTTTGGCAAAACAAAACTGATTTTATAGTATTTTAGTTCAAATTGTTTAACTCACCCTCTGTCTGAAACTGGCATCTGCATTTGGGTTCAAACCCAAAAGTGCTTGTTCATCCATTGCTGCCAATTACCTACTCTTGAAGGTAGGTTTGCTCTCTTTCCATTTACAGACTTTCCTCATCTGTCAATAGCAACAACAAAAAAAAATGCACATTAGATATTCAGACACACCAGTAACACAGAACACAGCAGAAACAATTTGCACTTTATCTTCCTACAGATTCTATTTGAGCAACGGTGCCCACGCTGTAAAATTATCACTAGCTGAAAACCTGTCAGTTACTGTGGCTTTGCTGGGACAGGATGCTGTTACAGCATGTGATGCAATAACCTGGTTTCCTGAGTCATGTGTATCCTCTGCTTCTATTCAAGTGAAGACACAAAATCAACCCTAAAAGATGAAGCATCGGCAGTTCATATTCCTGCACAATAGGAGAACAGTGGACGGAGACAGGGACAAGACAATAATAGTCTCCTTTTATTCATATCTGTCAGTATATCATTAGTATGTCATCAGCACTTGAAGATCAGTACATCAGTAATTAAAAGATCCAACGTAGAGTCTCTCTCACACACGTACAAACTCCCTGCTGCCTTGAATTTCTGAATGAAGAAAGAACCAATCTATGAAAAAGTGTGGCAAAGAGTATTATGTACATCTAAATCAGAGTCATTGAGTTGTACAGCACGGAAACAGACCGTTCAGTCCAACTTATCCATGCTGACCAGATGTCCTAAATTAATCTAGTCCCATTTGCCAGCATTTGGCCCATGTCCCTCCAAACCCTTCCTAATCATATACCCATCCAGATGCCTATTAAATGTTGTAATTGTACCAGCCTCCAACACCTCTTCTGGCAGCTCATTCCATCCTCACACCACACTCTGAAAAAGTTGCCCCTTAGATCCCTTTTAAATCTTTCCCCTCACCTTAGACCTATGCCCTCTAGTTCTGGACTCCCTTACCCTCAGGAAAAGACTTGACTATTCACCCTATCCACATCCCTCATGATATCATAGACCTCTATAAGGTCACACCTCCACCACTGAGGCTCCAGGAAAACAGCCCCAGCCTATTCAGCCTCTCCCTCCAACCCTGGCAACATCCTTGTAAATCTTTTCTGTATTCTTTCAAGTTTATCAATATCTTTACTATTAGCAAGGAGACCAGAATTGCATGCAGTATTCCAAAAGTGGCCGAACCGATATCCTGTACAGCCGCAAAATGACCTCCCAACTCTTTTACTCAATGCGCTGACCAATAAAAGCAAGTGTACCAAACACCTTCTTCACTATCCTGTCTACCCGTGACTCCACTTTCAAGGAACCACGAACGTGCACTTCAAGGCCTTTTTGTTTGGCCACACTGCCCAAGACCTTACCAATAAGTGTATTAAGTCCTGCCCTGATTTGCCCTACCAAAACGTAGCACCTCACACATATCTAGATTAAACTCTACCTGCCACTCCACAGCCTATTGGATCAAGGTCCCTTTGTACTCTGAGCCAACCTTTTTTTGCTGTCCACTACACCGCCAATTTTGGTGTCATCTGCAAACTTACTAACTAAACCTCAATTTCACATCTAAATCGTTTACGTAAATAACAAAAAGCAGTGGACCCAGCACCAATCCCTGCAGCACACACTGGTCAAGGGCCTGCTGTCCAAAAAGCAATCCTTCACCACCACCTTCTGTGTCCTGCCTTGGGCAGGAGACAGAAAGAGAGGCTGGAAGACAGGAGGTGGCATAAGAAATAGGAGGGGCAGACTATTCAGTCCACATGCCTGATCTGTTTGCTTTGAATTCCACTTTACCATCTATAATTCAGGAGGAGAAGCAGTCGTGGTGTGAGAGAAGGGAGGATGTAACGGGGAGCAGTGGCTGCAGAAAACAGGGAAGGATGGTTGGAAGGGAATCAAAGAGGATAACTAATGGAGGGAGAAAGAAGTGGAGAGCATGGAGCGGGGGAGGTTAAGGAATAGGGGAGTTTACATGAGATAGGGAAAAAGAAGGGAAAATGGATGAGGGGAAGATAAGGAGAGGGGTTAGGGTGAAAGAGATTGGAAGGAGGAGGGTTAAACATAGAACAGTACAGCACAGGACAGGACCAGGAACTTCGGCCCACTAAGACTGTGCCATCTATGATGCCATTCTAAGTTAATCCCTTCTACCTGCACATGGTCCGTATCTCTCTAGGCAGTGACAGGATGGGAGGCGGGAGTTTATTGGGAGGGATGGAGGGATGGAGGGATGGATGGAGGGGTGGAGGGGGGGGGGGGGGGGGGGAGGGTCAACGGGAGGACGGGGAGGGGGCGGCTGATGGTGGTGGGGGGGAAGAAAGGTGCTTGGGAGGGGACACATGGAGATGGGATGGGCCTATCGCCCGGGTCGGGGTAGACAGGGAGCGGGAAGTAGCGGCAGGTAGTGACTCTTTTACCTTCCCCCACCTCACTCCACGGAGCCGGCGCCACCACCTCGCGGCTTCAACTCCACCGGAAGTACGGAGCAAGGGCTCGGGTCATGACTCCCGGAACTAATGCTTTTAAAAAATTAATTTACCTAAAAGAACTTGTCTAACTTATATTTTATATATTTATATTGCAAATGTGATTGATTTGAAGCTGATTGGCGTTTTTCTCACAACAAAACATGAAGCTGTATGAGAGCGTAGACCGGATTGGTGCAAACTGTGATTCGGTTGATAATAGGTTTGCAGCTTTTCCTGCATAACACTAAATTCCGTTTGACCCATTGGAACCGTTTATATTTTAAAATATTGGAAATTTCATTTTTTGAACACGTTGTATTCCTTCTCTTTCATTTATTTAATCATGATGGAGCTACCCCGTAATTCTGACCAATCAGCTGCATCGTTACACAAGCATATCCAATCATCCGGGGCGTTGGGACATTTGAACCAATCGAATGCTGCGTAACATCGTGGCGCGCCCCACCCCCGGGCTCTCCTTGCCACGAGGACGTTTGGGGGGCGTCTAAACCAATCATCTGTAGCTCTGCCGCGGCGAATCCAATCGTATGCGGGGGGTTGCGGGGCATTCAGACCAATCATTTGTCAGAAAACCCGTGTGGGTGGGATATGGTTTCGTCATTTCCGGCAGCTGGCGGCGTGGAGAGCGCAAGACGGGCAGACAGTGACGTAACGTCCTCTTCTCGGTGGCAGGCGATCGAGTGGCGACATGAAGGCATCAGGCGTCGTAGGTTGAGGGACTGGGAGAGGAAACCCTGGGCGGTGGTGGTGGTGGCGGTGGTTCAGTCCTTCGGGGGGGGGGGGGGGAAACGATTGTAACCCGTGTGTGACTGGGGAGTGACGGGGAGAGGGGATTGTCACGGACCGGTTCTGTGAAGCGGGAATGTTAATCTGTGTTTCTTCAACATGGCCGCCATGGCTTGGGAGGGCTGGAGCCATGTGCTGCTGGCCCTGGGATGAGGGAGTGGATCTCAATGCTACAGCCAGGACCAGCTTCACATTAACCTTCAGTACAAGTGGGAGGGGATAACTGCATGTTTATTTTACTTCATTCACGGGATGTTGGGCTTTGCCGGTTGGGCCAGCGTGTATCTTCCAGAGTGCCGTTAAGAATCAACGTGTGGGTCAGGCCTGGTCTGAATGGCAATTCCTTTACCTCTAGGATATTAGTGAACCGGATGGGCTTTTCCAATAATTGTCATTCCACTTTTAAATACAGTTCTTTCAAAATTTTTTTTATTCCATTCAAATTCTACCATTTTCCACGGAGGAATTCCCCAAAACATTACTTAGGTCTCTGCATAAATAGTCTCTAGAGTAGATTAGGTCATTGCCTCGCCTAATCTGATTAGTATTGCAGAGCATTGCACTAAATACAGCATATTGCATGCACAGTACACGCAATAGCAGTATATGCAGTCCACAGAATAGTTTGTCCACATAATGGTAGCTTATACAACATGGTAGTCCACACAACATTAGTGTAGGCAGCATTGCCATGCATGTCATTACAATACGCACACTATTTCAGGGGTTACAATATCACATGCACACAACCTTATCTTATGTACAATTTTTAAAAACTGTGCCAAGTTCAGTTCTCCACAGGTGCAGCCAGTGAGACAAATTCTGTTTAAAGGTGCCTTTTTAAAACTTAAGTAAAAACAAATGTGGAACTTTAGCTCTTTGTCTCCACACAGATGCTACCTAGCCTTAGTTTTTTCTGACATTTATTTCTGATTTCCAACATCATCAATAATTCTTTTCAATTAGAAGTGAATCAAGTAACAAGCTTGATGATTTATACACATAATTTTCATGTTAAACGTGCTAGGGGAATCTAGTGGGTCAAGGCTGTATCTGAAGAGAGAAACAGAGTTAAGTTTCAGCTGGTTACATGTTTAATGGAGAGGATCATCCATCTGAAACTTGAACTGGTTATTAAAAAAGGGAGGAACCCAGTAGATCTGGCAGAAAGAAATTAGAGCTCATGTTCCAGGACTGTGATTATACATCTAGTTACTCTCTTCAACTGATAGTAACTATTTCTGGCCATGTGGTGTTTTCCATTTTTAAACTTCCAGTTTCCAGCGGTGTTGATTGGTTGGTGAAGGTAGAAAATTCTACATTCACCATCACAAAATACTGATGGAACAAAGGTGCAATGAAAATAACGTTGTACTATTATGCCTCTTTAGTGCAGTTTACTTTTTGGTATTGCACACAAAACCCAAAAGTCATTATGTTTCACTTGTTAATGCCTTTTTTTATAGTGTGCAGAAATGAACAGTACCTTGTCGCCTTTTGAAACCATCTGTGTTTCACAAAGTGAATTTGAAGGTACTACATGTGTTTGTCCTGGGGATATGTGGTGTGTTTGTTATGAGTGGTATTTTAATCTGTATTTTTCACAATTCAGCTTAAGGAGTACAAGGTGATTGGGCGGCGCCTGCCCTCACCAAAAGAGCCCAGCCCTCCACTCTATCGGATGCGCATTTTTGCTCCAAATCCTATTGTTGCCAAGTCTCGATTCTGGTACTTTGTTTCAATGCTGAAGAAACTGAAGAAGTCTGCTGGTGAAATTGTCTATTGTGGACTGGTAATTTCTTTAGTTTGTTTGTTTAAAAGTGCATATGTTTAGATGATTGATATTCTTGCTTTTCAATCTCTCAAATGTCTCAGCTTCAGTTTTTACTCCCGTTTTGGACATCCAGTAGTCCAAAGGCCAAAACAGCCAAGTATTTTCCAGGAACAAAAATAAAGTTGCTGGAAAAGCTCAGCAGGTCTAGCAGCATCTGTGAAGGAAAAAAAGAGTTAACGTTTCGGGTCCGGTGACCCTCAACGTTTCCATCATTTTGGTCCAGATTCAGGAAATGTTGCTCTTTATGACCAGCTTTTACCTGGTTTGGATTTACAAATCACAGAATGCATTTGTAAAAGACTGGCAGATAGTCTTGGAACTTGCTGTGAATTGCAAATTTTATCTGTTCGGTTTTACCAACGATGCAGTGAAGGGATTCTACCTCTCAGCCCTTCTGGCAGTGAATTCAAGACCTCACCACTGAAAAACGTTCTCTTTAGTTCCTCTTCACTGTATCAGTTGCTTTGTCTATAACCTCTGGTACTGACCTCTGCCAAGGGAATTGCATCATTCCTATTCACTCATTTAAGATCATAAATTTGTGTAATTGGCTAATCTCCCCTTGGCCTCCTCTCCTTTAAAAATACCCACTCTAGCAATTCTTTTTTTCAGCTGAAACTGCCATGTAAATGTTCTCTCTACCCCCTAGTAGATCACACCTTTGCAATGTTGTACTTTCCAAGACTGTGTGCAGTGCTCTATCTATGGATGTACTAATGGTTAAACCTTTCTAGCAATATCCAGCCCTCTCCCCTTGACTTGGCTAGAGTAAGTTAGCCTGTATGCTTCATTATCCATTGTTTGGAGATTATTTGACAAGATACCACCTCAGGGTTAGCACTGATGGAGCATTGAATAACAGACAGTAAAGAAGAGGAGGGAAATGGGTCGTTAGTATGATCTTTGTGAATAACCCAGTCAAATCCACATTTGTGCCATGCAGGAGGTTATTACACAAGATTGGGTATTTGGATAACATATTGCTATTGATTGTGGATTGGCTAACAGGCAGGAAACAGCCCAAAAAAACTCAGCCAATGATGGGATAACCAGGTGTAGAGCTGGATGGACACAGCAGGCCTAGCAGCATCAGAGGAGCAGGAGGCAGCTTTCTTGCTCCTCTGATGCTGCTAGGCCTGCTGTGTTCATCCAGCTGTACACCTTGTTATCTCAGATTCGCCAGCATCAGCAGTTCCCACTATCCCTCCCAGCCAATGATGGTATAGTTACCAGGAGGGGAAGTGCTGGGGCCATGGCTATTTGTAGTCTGTACCAATGAGAAAAGTTACCTGAGGAAGCCAAGTTTGCTAAGTTACGTAGGAAATTAGACAGGACAGGATGGATATAGACCAAGTGGATGGGCAAGAAAATTGCAGACAGAATATAATGTGGGAAAGTATGTGGTTATCCAACTTGGAAGGAAAGTTACTGAAATAATGTGAAACCATACATAGTATATTGCATACACTTCTGGATCTTTACCTAGGAAGAATATCCTTGGTTTAGAAGGGTTCATTCAAATGAATGAATCCTAGGTCATGGGATTGCCCTATGAGGAGAGATTCAGTAGACTGGGACAAAGTGCCTTGGTATTTTGAAAACGTGGTGACCTAATTGAAAAGCCATTTTTTAATGAACAGATGTTAGGAAGGTATTTCGACTGGCTAGAGGAATCTGGAAGCATCGGGTCAAAAATCTCAATGAGGGGTTATCCATTTATAGCTGTAATGAGCAAAATTCCTTCGAACGGTTGTGGTAAAGCTTTGGCATTTGTGCATTTGGACGGTTGACAAGTGTGTTCAAGACAGATTTGGTACATTTTTATGTTGAAGGAATACGGGAATACTGCAGGAAATTGGAATTGAGGTAAGTGATCAGACATGAATAGGATGGGAGGGCTAAATGACCAATTCTTCTTCTTGACTCTGACCAATAAGAAATAAGGAATTCTGTGAAAAACTCACCTCATAATTCCTCAAAACCAGTCCACTATCTATAAGGCATATGCCAGGAGTGTGAGGGAATGATCTCTCCTTCCCTAGATGAGTGCAGCACCAATGCCACTGAAGAAACGCAATGCTGCCTTCCCCCCCCCCCCCAAAAAAAAATCGGATGAAGTTTTCTTGATTTGCACCCCATCCCCACTTTTGACCACCCGCCTATCTGTTACTGATGCGCTGTGGCAGCTGTTTGCACCATCTACAAGATGCTCTGTGGGCATTCACAAAGTTCCTTAGATAGTACCCTCCAAACCGATGAACTCCACCACCCGGAAGGATGTAGGCAGCAAATACATGGAGGTGCCATCACCTGCAAGTTCCTCTCCAAGCCACATGCCATCCTGGCTTGGAACTACATTGTGTTCCTTTGGTGTTGCTAGGTCAAAATCCTGAAACTTCACAGCTTTGTGGCTGCAGATACT